GTAGCACGTTTAGAAGCTATTCGTTTACTTCTTGCTTTTGCTTCGTCTATGGATTTTAAACTTTATCAAATGGATGTTAAGAGTGCCTTCCTCAATGGTTTTATTCAAGAGGAAGTGTATGTTGACCAGCCCCCGGGGTTTGAGGACTTTGAGTTTCCCGATCACGTCTTCAAACTCAAGAAAGCGCTCTACGGTCTTAAACAAGCACCACGTGCTTGGTACGAATTGAACGTTTGAGTAAATTTCTTTTGGATAGTGGTTTCCAAAGGGGAAAGGTAGACACCACACTTTTTATCAAGAGTAAAAACAATAACATCCTTTTGGTTCAAGTTTATGTAGACGACATTATATTCGGTGCTACTAACGAGTCTTTGTGCAAGGAATTCTCAACGCTAATGACTAGCGAATTTGAAATGTCTATGATAGGCGAGCTCACATTCTTTTTGGGACTCCATGTTAAGCAAATGAAAGATGGCACGTTCATTTGTCAAGCTAAATACTGCAAGGAGCTCCTAAGACGGTTTGAAATGGACAACGCCAAAGCCATGGCGACCCCGATGAGCACGTCTGACCATCTTGACAAAGACGAAAAAGGTAAGGAAGTAGAAGTCAAAAAGTATCGATGTATGATCGGATCCCTTCTTTATCTTACTGCTAGTAGGCCGGATATCATGTTTAGCGTATGCCTTTGCGCGAGGTATCAATCGTGTCCAAAGGAATCGCACTTAACCGCGGTGAAACGGATCATGAAATACCTTGTCGGCACGGTTAACGTTGGACTGTGGTATCCAAAAGGCTCTTCTTGTCATCTTGTTGGTTATTCCAACTCGGACTTTGCCGGTTGCAAATTAGACCGTAAAAGTACGAGTGGGACTTGCCACTTACTTGGTAGTTCCTTAGTCTCATGGTTTAGCAAGAAACAAGTCAGTGTTGCGTTATCCACAACCGAAGCGGAATACGTAGCCGCCGGTAGTTGTTGTGCTCAAATCCTTTGGATGAAGCAACAACTCGTGGACTATGGCCTTAGTATCAATCACGTCCCTCTTCGTTGTGATAATACTAGCGCCATAAGCTTGACGAAGAACCCCGTTCTTCACTCAAGGACAAAACACATTGACATTAGGCATCATTTCATTAGAGATCATGTTCTCAAAGGTGATGTCGAAATTGAGTTTGTTGAAACACACAATCAATTAGCCGACATTTTCACAAAACCTTTAGAGAAAGAGTCGTTCTTCCGCATTCGAAGTGAACTCGGAATCCTTGACTCCACGATGATCTAAGTTGTGCATCTAAATTCCTTAAACATTTACTAACTTAAGCGTCGGAGAACTTTTTCTTTTTTGCAGGTACCCCGTTCATGGAATCAGGGGGAACCATGCAAACAGCGCTGTCCAGGAGACACAACAGCGCTGTTGAGAGAAACACCGTCATCCAGAAAGTTTTCCAACAGCACTGTACGACAAACCAACAGCGCTGTCCCAGGGAGTCCCTTAAATCTTCACTTTCTAGAAACTTTTTGAACATTGATGTTCCCTTCTAAACATCGCTGTCTACCCAAAACACCTTGTTTCCAACCAAAACCAGAAACTTTTTTTAACAGCGCTGTCTTACCTTCAACATCGATGTCCACTTTTACAATTTTTTTTCCTCTATCGCAAAACAGCGATGTAGAGAAACCCAACAGTGCTGTTCTAATGGGTTCAAACCCTTACACAATTCCAGAAACTTTCGAAACATCGCTATAGGGGATTCAACATCGCTGTCCCTTTGACAATTTTTTTAAAAACTTAACGCACAACAGCGCTGTTCAGCATTCCACCAGCGTTGTCTCAACAGCGATGTCGCCTATAGAACATCGCTGTTCAGGTCAAATTTTTCAAAAAAAATATCCGTTGGCAGGAGCATTAATTTCTCCAACAGCCATATTTTTGAAAATCTGGACGTTGGAGACCACCTTTTCTATAAATTGGGAACCCCTCTCCTCACTTTTACACACACAAACACATATTCCTTCAATATCTTCACATATTTCATCCTCTCTACTCTATTTTTTTGAGATTTCTTCACTATGGGCAAAGACAAGAGCAGGGCAGGCACTTCCGGGAAATCAAAGTCCAAATCCCGGGCGCCTACGTCATCCTCCGAGTAGCGCCTCTACTATGGCGACGGGTCATACCTTTGGTTTGATTCCGAGGAGGAGCACACCCGATTCCTCACCTTTTTCTCTAAACGGGTTGTGGCTCCCCCACGGATCATCCCGGAACGCTACCCGGAGCTGCAGGGCTACGACGACCTTGACGTACAGCTTCATAAAGCCGGTCTTTGGCCGTTCGTCTCCCGGGCGCGCAAGGAGATCAACCCGGCGCTGATTCGGGCCTTCTACTCCAACCTCTGGCGTGAGGACGACGTGCTCTACTCGCTCGTCGAGAGCACGCCGATCGAGCTCACCGTGGAGCAGCTTGGGCGCATCGCCGGCCTCCCCTTCCAAGGCGACGATGTGTCTCACTATGGTGGAGAGGATTGGGTGCTTAACAACGAGGGCCTTATCCTCAACGAGCTTGGCATCACCGAGCTCAAACGCCATGCCTCGGGCCGCCCAACCATTCACTCCGCCAACCCCGAAGGCCGTCTCGTTCTCTACATCGTCTCCCGGATCATCAAACCCAGGAAGCACGGCCACACCATCATGCACGGTGAAGACCTCAAGCTCATCCATGCGATCATGCATACGGCCCCAATCAATTGGGCAAAGTTTGTCATGATCAACATGACGATTGTCGCGTCCACCGAGCACGACCACCTCCTCCCGTACCCGTTTTTGGTGATGGACATCCTTGAACGGTTCAAGGTAACCACAACCGTTGGCCCGCTCACGAAGGCCACGAAGATTTGGACAATCAGCAACCAAACCTTCATCAAGCGGTCGGACAACGCCGCGGCTGCTACTGCCGAGCCACGCCGCACTGCCCCTGCCGCTGGCCCAGCCGAACCCCAGGCCCGGGCCAACCTAGCCTCCATCACCGACTCCCTCAACCGGCTACACCTCAAAGTTGACGGGATGGATGGCTACCTTGAACGGCTCGACGAGGCGGTCCAACGCCAAGGGTATGCCATGAACGCGTACTTCCAACGCGTTAACTACGTCCCCCCACCGTACCATGGCACGTTCTTTGGACAAGTGTACGGTGACGAGGACGAAGACAATGCCTCCTATGCCCCGTCAAGCTCCCCGAATGACGACGAGTTCGATGACGCCATTGATAGTGATGAGATGGACGTCGACGACGACGAGGACGAAACCGAAGACGAAAACTAGGACACCCCTAGAATTTCTATCTCTTTTCCTTTAATTGTCTTGTTTTTTTTAATGCTTCCGTTGTACTCCGCTATTTCCCATTAATAAATAAAAGTATCTTTTATCTTTTTGTTAATGTCAAAAGGGGGAAGAAAAGGGCTATGCATATACTAAGGGGGAACGCCTCTATAAACGAGACCGTTTGATTTTAATCCGACTAAATATTTTTTAAAGCACAAATTAAGGGGGAACTTTTTCACAACTTTCTGAAAATCAAATATCCCTTAGTATGCATATCCCCGTCTTGTTTGCCATTATCAAAAAGGGGGAAATTGTTGGAACACGGGTTTACGCCTATGTCGTACTAAGCTGTGTTCGTCTTATGACAGGTTTTGATAATGCCAAACCGCCGTGACCATAACAAGGCTAAAGTGAGAAAAACCAAGGCGAAGGAACATGGCATGATTTGAGAACCAAGAACCAAGAATCAAGAACGAAGAATAAGAATTGTATTGAGTCGGTCTTAATGTGATCAAGACCGGCACAACTTTCAAATCTTGGGTCTCTAGGCTTCTCTCATCAAAATATCTTTTGCATATTCAAAAATGTTTTTCTTAAGTGTTAAACTGCCTAAAAACACTTGGAGTTCGCCCAAACCAAAAACCAAGCCATCCGGCGTTCGGTCTTCGGAAACCGGCGTTCGGCTTTTGGTTATCGGCGTTGGTTTTTGGCGTCCGAACCAGCCAAGTGGTTTTCAACTTTTAATGATTGGTTTTTACTTCTGGGCATGTTTAAATAGTTCTCCAACAAAAACGCTTCAAAAACCACCCTTCGTTTTTGGTCGTTTAGTGAAAACCATGCGAAACGGCGTAAACTTGGCTAGCCGTGATTTTCAACTAAATGACGTGGTTTTCAAAATGTTTTACTTGATTTCTTAGCAAAATGCATTAAACAAACATTTTCAATACTTGGTTTTTATTTTGGAGAACTTACATTTTTGACATCAGCTAACGGCTGACTAAACCAACCATGGGTCTGGCTAAACCAGCCCAACAGCGATGTTGGTGAAACCAACAGCGCTGTCTAGCTTGGGTGGCTGAAAACCATGGTTTGGCATTAAGTCTTCCAACAGCGATGTTGGATGTTAGACATCGCTGTTGAGCCAAGGTTGGATTTCCAGAAACTTCTGGAACAGCGATGTAGGCTTCCCTACAGCGCTGTCCAACCTAAGCCAAAAATATAGTGCATTGGCAGAAAGTTTTTGGACAGCGATGTTGACCCAGCAACAGCGATGTCAGGCCAAACTTCCATCTTCAAAGGCAGACCTAAATAGCGATGTTCTAGTATGGAATATCGATGTAGGGACCTGACCGTTGGAAGAAATTTAAGGCTAAAACTTTCCTTGTTTGGAAGTCAATAGCCAAAACAGCGATGTAGGGGTATTGGACATCGCTGTTGGCTTGACCGTTGCTTCCCAGTTTTTAAAAACCAAGCCTAGAACAGCAATGTCCAAGCCTAGGACAGCGCTGTCTGGGTGAATTTCAGCAGATCCAAATTTAATCAAATCCCACAAATTGTGCCAATCACCCCTTAAATGTTTTGGTCTGTTGGAGCCTATTTTTCCACTATAAAATGGGGTGTTTGGTTCTGTTTTAATCATCACATAACTTCACAACTTCTACTCTTTCATTGCAAATCATTCATCACTTTTTCATAGCTTTTTGAGAGCCATTTTTTGTGAAGCTTGTGTTGCGTTCTTGAGCGTTCTTAGTTACTCATTATCCACTCATTATCATATACAAGGACTCTTTAAACATGTATCTTCTATCAAGGTGTCATAATAAGTCTTGAACAATGACACTTAAATTGTGTCCTCTTTTCCATACTATGACTCACACAAAATATTCCTATTGTGTCCTTGAATAAAAAAGAAGACACTTAAAATGTGTCTACATATAATCTATTATGTGTCACTTTTTTTTATTAGGACTCTTTATGCTCTCTTTTTCCTATAAGAAAAATATAATTCTTCACATCATTATTAAAACTGTCAAATAAGGAGTATAACACAAGTATTCATATTTTACAATGTAGACTACAATGTAAATTTAATTCAAAGTTGTTACACTTTTACAATATAGACTTCATATATTTAACTTGAATATAGTAGCAATATGATCAAAATCTGCTACATGCATGATTCAACCACCTCCGCCAAGTCTACTTGAACTTCACCAATCTCTACATGACCGTATGCGTCTTTTATCTTTTCCTGACAAGATTTTTGTGCACTTTGAAGTTTCTTTAGTGCAGAAATGGCTAAAGAATGAATTCAAGAGTACAAAGTATAAACTTCCTTCCTCTTTCCATCAAAATAATATGATTTGGCCTAATAGAAGGACCTGCAACAACATTTGAGAATCCTATAATCAATTTCAGCCTTCAAAGTTCAGGAAAAAATAAGTAAATGAATTTTAGAGATTTTGAAACAAGGAAGATTAAGATACATAGTACTATCAAGAGAGACATGATTGCTGAAACTTCCAAGATCTTCACACTCTAAGATCGATACAAGTTCACCATTTATACACCTAAACGAATGGTAGGCACGAAAGTAGGACTTTAACAAATAGTCAATGTATGAAACTTGAACTATAAAACATTTTGGGAAACAATATAAAACGGAGAGAGGAAGTGCAATATAAAAACCCTTATATGTAAAGAAATCATATAACAGGTTAAGCGTAAGGTAAAACACAAAACAATTAGACAGCCACATCTTACAAATGCTTAACTTATGTAGCTTGTTTGGGCATTTTCCCACTTTTCATCATACACACATTGTTTAGAAAGGATGCCTAAAGAAAAATCCAAGCAGAAACTACTCATATGAGTTCATAACACAAATTAGACTAAGCAATGAGGCTCTTCTAAAAGAAGAGTGAATTGCAACTCACCAAAAGGTGAAAGCGCAAATATCATCAATCTCAACCCATTAACATTCAAGCTCAACACCTTTATCAAGACTGCAGAATCAAGTAGAAAAATTTGCAAATCAGCATTGTAGAAATTTTAAGCTATAATAATTAACATTATCCATTACTACATAACCTAGCAGGGCATATCAACCACTAATGAATCCAATTAAGTGCGTGAAGTAAAATAAAATTAGTGAAGTAAAAAAATCTACAACCAGGGCATACATTTCTACAATAACAATAATACTCTCCCATTTATGAACATCTTTAAAGGCAAAAAATGATTATAAAACCTTTTTATAAAATAGAATCCTGAAGTATAGATTAAGTTGAGTATTGATAAAAATCAATTTGGTTAAACAAGGTCACTTAGAAATAGATTCGAGATATACATTCACGAATGAAGAACTCAGATTTAAAAACTACTTAAGGTTTAACCCAATCAAAAACAAAATCTTTCTAGTAGATTTGATGCTTACATGAACATAAAAAATTAGTTCAAAGGAAATACCAGACTCCAGATAGTCATGTTCCAAATTTGAACTATAAATTAGTTCAAAGTTATATTCTAAATTTGAAAATACCAGATAGAAAAAATTAGTTCAAATTCAACAAACAAACAGGCTAAAAATAAGAGATTTAACCTAAATTGAGATGTTTATCCTTAAATCCATGGTTCTCTACTCCATTTCGCGGGTCCTCTCTACTTGAAATCGTTGTCAATCCGACTCTATATGTGCTTCTCGCAGTTTCAGTTCTCATCTTCAACGTCTGCTTCATGCTTAACCAAGAGGAAGAGCTTCGCTCATCTCTGCGTCATTCCTCTCTCCAATCTCAGATTTGTAATCGACAGAGAGAGAGCCATCTGAGATTGATGGACGATGTTCTCTATCGGACAAGAGCTGGTGGTGATAGATTTTGAAGATGATGACGGAAACTATGGGAGAATGAGATATTCTGAATGGGAGACCTAATTGCGAAATTGGGGCACATATTGGGCAGGCACTGAAAAATAGAGAGGGATTCTAAAATTTGAGATGAATTTGAAAATTTTTAGAAGAACAATCATATTTTTGAGGAAAAATGTTAGGGGTACAGGGTGTACCCTATTTGTCTCCCACCCCCTCCATTACCACAAAAATGGGCAAGAGACTAAAAAAAATTAAATAAATAAAAATAAAATAAAAATGAGTGGTGGAAAAAGGAGTGAGGGACAAATGGGGTACACCTTTGGTGTACCCCTAGCAATGCGCATTTTTGAAACAAAAAAGTTTTTTGCTCCATAAATTTTCTCACTCTTATGTACCACTTTCAATTAGGGGTACACAAAAATACCGGTTTGATATTGTTTCGAACTAGAACGATAATGTACCGAACCGAAAAGTGAGTTTTCAAATGGTTCTAACAAATTATATCCCGAATCAAACCGAACCATTTTCATAATAGTACAGGATGGGTTTCCAAAAAATAAATAGTGAAAATACCTAGTTACACATTTTTTTGTTATTTGAATTTCTTACTCACATGGATCCAATTCCACAAGATACCCATATCTTTGACCATATAACATCATACCGGTATTGATAACTAAACTAGTTACTTGCACAGATCCAATTTGGCTGATCAAATCTTTAAATTCATCAGATCGGATATAATTTGATTGAATCAGACCAAAACAGATCTAAGCGGATCAAATCAAATTCAAATCCAATAAGATCAGATCAAATCTTTAAAATATGTTTTTACTTGTATAATTTGTGTCATATTTGCTTGGTCTAATGAGGTCCGATGTGATGCTTTTAAAGATTAGATTGGCAAATGGGACACAGCCTATATAAGAATTTAGATTTTATTTGAAGATTTGATCTGATCTCATTGGATTTGAATTTGATTTGATCTGATTAGATCTATTTTTGTCTGATTTGATCTCATTAGGTCCGATCTAATGCATTTAAAGATTAGATTCGACAGATAGGGCACAACGTAGAGAAGTAAATAGATCTTTTTGAAGATTTGATCTAGTCTTATTGGACATGAATTTGATTTGATCCAATTAGATCTATTTTTGTCCGATTTGATCTGATTAGGTCCGATCTGATGCATTTAAAGATTATATCAAGCAATTAGGACAGAACCTATACAAGAAAACAGGTTTCCTGTGAAAGTTTGATGTGATCTTATTTACAACGTAGAGAAGTAAATAGATCTTTTTGAAGATTTGATCTGATCTTATTGGTTTTGATTTTGATTTGATCCGATTAGATCTGTTTTTGTCCGATTTGATCTAATTAGGTACGATCCGATGCATTTAAAGATTAGATCAAGGAAATAGGACACAACGTATACAAGTAAATAGATCTTTTTGAAGATATGATATGATCTTATTGGATTTGAATTCGATTCGATTCGATCCGATTAGATCTGTTTTGGTCTAATTCTATCTAATTAGGTTCGATTTAATGCGTTTAAAGATTAGATCAGGCAAATACGACACAACCTATACAATTGAAAAGATTGATGGAGGAGAGAGAGGAGTGTGAGGGGAGGGAGGAAGCTTAATGGAGGAGAGAAAGGAGTGTGAATTTACAATTTTATCCACGTTCTTAACCAAAATGTTAACAAAAGACCATTCGTGGAAATGAATATAATAATCGGGGATTAAATTAGTAATATTTGATATGTAGAGACTAAATATGTAAAACGACCTATAACTGGAGATCTTTTATGGAATTACTCATAAAATTATTTTAAAAGATGAAATATTTTTGACATCGTATGAGAGTTAATCAACGCCTACGATGTAACGCCCTAGAAATCGGCCTAGAAGTTAATCAATAATTAAAAAAATAAGAATTATCTATTTACGATAATCTATTCGTTTAAAGGATTAAAAGATACTTTAGAGATTCTAATCGTCTCAATAAAACGAGACTAATCAGACTGTATTTGTAAATATTTAAATTAAAAGACTGATCAATGTTAATTAATCGAAAGAATCAAGACGGACTAGGTGGAACTTGTAAATTCTTGTTGATTTATTATAAAAGTTATATCGTTGGGTAAGGATCGACTAATCGAATCTAACGACGCAAACAGATTTTAATTCGGAGCATGTTAGCCCGAAAAGTGTGTTTTACTCGGTTACATTATTTTAAATTACAGAGTACAAAACCCTAGTATATACGAAAAGGGAAATTAGCGTGTTGCTTCTCCTAGATCTAAGACTGCCCGCCGCCGCCTAGGACGGAAAGAGACATTGACGCTGCTCTGCGACCGATGCTGGACGAGCACGAAACTAGGGAGACTCATCTTCGACGAGCTTCAACTTTGGAATCGGCAACCAGTACTCAGATTTCAGACGGCGATGGCTTCCGATTGTAAATTACTCCGTACTTCATAGACTGAGTAAAGAACTCAGTTTGGCAGCCCTTTTCGTTTATAATTGAATCCGAGCATTTTTCCCTCATATTTTGCTCAACTCTATTCTTCCTTACACATATATAGTATGTATTTTATTCATTCGTATGCATCATGAGTGGCTAAATATCTAGATTTAGGTTTCACAAGACCTCTGATAATTTATATACTGAGTTTGCTATATATCTAGATTTAGGTTTTCGAGTGGCTAAATATTGTTGGTTTCCATATACGTTGCTACAGGTCCAGGTCCTAAATGTAATTCATATAAAGTGTATGTTGATTGAGATTTCCAATATTTGAAGCCAAGTCTGGTCAGTTTGGCTGAGCAAAGATGCACTCCAGATTTTAGAGTACATTTGGTCAACTGGGACAAACAATTTCTGTTGAATATTTAAGATTGCTGCTTAGTTACTTTGGGTGTTGTAGTTTCCTGTCTTTTAGATGTTAAGACTTAGATGTTGATTATATTATTCTAAAAAGATGTTTTAGTCAATTGACTAAAGTGTCTGATTATAAAATAATATCATCAATTAAGTTTGAATTTTATGTCTANTTTGATATTAGTTTGGATGAGGACATTGTGACTAAAACTTCTCTTATAATCTTTATTTTTGTCATAGGGTTATGGTTGTTGTAAGTAAAGGTTTGGGGTACGTTGTGCCTACTAATTGTTGGTCAGCTGTTAGCTCTTTAGCAATGGTTGTTTGGGATGACCCTAATCCTATGGTGAAATAGCAGTCTAGGTAAGCATTTGATGAGTCAGAATATGATGTAGAAATCATAATTGAAGACCATGCTCTATCTATTCTGGTCAATGAAAAGGATTTCCAAACTACAAAAGATGCTTCAGCGGCTCAAGAATCGAATGCAGCAGGTTGTATACAAATCATTTTGGTGGCCCTTTTTCCCATAGAGGTGTGTCTTTTGTCCTATGATTAGGTAACACACTACGTGCATTGACATGCTATTGGTATTTGAATTTGTTGGTTGGATGAATTTGAATTGAATTCCAGTGTTGTGAAGATTACCACAAGTTACTATTGCTATTTGTCAATGTTTTTCATATGTTTTTTTTGGCTATCCTTGGAGTATGATTGTGAAGGTTACATCAGGTTAGTACAGTTGCTAATTCCCAAGGACTTTGCATATATATATATATATATATATATATATATATATATATATATACATACACACACACACACACACAAACACACACACACACACACTTTTTTTGCCTTTCTTTAGAGTATTTAAGAGAAGCTAATACCAGCTGTACTTTGTTTTAAATTTGAAGAGTAAGACATAATAAACTAGCTGATTAGTGCAATATCAGATTCGTATTGGATTTTTCCGTGAGTATTTACTAAACCAGATCACCATTTTGCAGGTGTGTTGTTCTTGTTCTGTTCTTGATTCACAACGATCATTTCAGGATTTATTGGCTTTGTGCTGGCAGGTGGGAGATTCAAGTTCAATGCACGAAGATTCTCAAGGATTGGGTTCCTCACTTGTTCCTCTGTAGGAGCAACAACCTGTACCATAGGAATAGGATGGATTAAAGAGGCAGGCATGTAGATTATGCAAATTGTAAGGAAGATGATGTAAATATTAAATCCTTAGATGTTAATAATATTTTAAATGTATGAATTTTTGTTCAATATATTGTATTTTTTGAATTTATATTTATTTGGTAATCAACACAAGATAACAGATGTCTAATAAAAAATTCAACTACCATTCAAACTAATAGTTTGAAAAGTATATGTACAACTACACAAATGCGTAGTGTTAATAACATTTAGACAATCAAAACAAACAGTTGTTTGAAATACCACAAAAATAGTAGTTAATATTTTTAAAATACAACGTGAAATAATAGTTGTTTGAAGCAAATTTTTTTAGTAATCTTTAGAGTAGATGTCTGATAAACAATTCAACTACTGTCATAAAAAATAGTTTGAATACTTCAAGAAAAACTACAAAACACCGTTGTGTTAATAATCAATATACAACTAAAACAAATAGTAGTTTGAATAAGAATAATGTTAGTAGTCCATATTCTAGAAATACAACAAAAGATAACAGTTGTCTTATGTTATTTTTGTTTAGTAGTCTTCCGAGCAGCAGTCTGATATATCTTTCAATTACTTTTTAAAGTAGATGTCTATATTGTTGAACGACAACACCAAGAATTAGGAGTCTGAAGTTAAAAACAACAGTAGTATTCATTATAGATAGACAACAAAAAATCACAGTTCTCTTTAACTCTAAAAAACAGATGTCTTACTCATACATGGAAAACACTAAAAAGTCGTACTCTAAAACATTACAAAACAGGTGTCGTCAACCATTTTACACAATTGTTTTTAAACAATAGTCTGTAAATATATCAGACAGCTGCTCGGAAGACTACTGAAATCAGCACTATGAGACTACTAAAAGAAACAGTTGTCAGCATCTGTTTTTGACGTAGTGGACATTCACCTCTACACAGAACCTAGCCAAATCTGGTCTTGTGAAGTTTAATGTACTCTCATCCACTTTGAGAGGCCTACCCAGAGAGGAAGCAATGTTAAAGAGAGCTCTTTGATCATGTACAAAAATAGGGAGGTTAGGACAGGAAACCCAAATAGGGACAATGAGACAATCCACCCCTTCCTTGTGATCATGAGTCCATTTGGTAACAACCATTGTTTGACCCCCAACTTGCCAGGTTTGTCTAAGGAAGATACGCTGATAATCATCTTCAAGCTGGAAGTTAATGAGTACCTGATTGGAAGAAAGTTTTCCAACTGTGAACTCTCCTTGAAGTCCAAGTTTCTGCAGGAAGTTCTTCATCACTGGATATGGAGGTCTGCGGCTGAATGTGCCAATGAGAGCATTCTTGAATCTCCTGGAAAGTAGTTGGATGTCATCAATAGAGAAAGACACTGATGGCACCCTTTTGTAAAAACCTTGAGTAACACCTTGTAATTTTTATTCTTCTATGAATGTATTGAGAACTTGTGAAAAAAGTTTTTTCCGGCCACTAATCCCGACAATCACTGCCGGCGGAGTCTCTCTCTCACTAGACATTTTTTTATGCATACATACATACATACATACATACATATATATATATATATATATATATATATATATATATATATACATACATACATACATACATACATACATACATACATACATACATACATACATACATACATACATACATACATACATACATACATACATACATACATATATACATATATACATATACATATACATATATATATATATATATATATATATATATATATATATATATATATATATTTATTTATTTATTTTTTTAATAAATATAAAAATCGAATTACAAACTGAGGGGGGGGGGGGCTAGGCCTAAACCCCGAGCAGGGAAGCTAGAAAAGAGAAAAGATTAAAGACATCTATGGCCTCTGTTCCAGCATTCCGAGAGGCCTAGTTCTTCCATCCCATTTCACTTCATTAACCACGTGCGTCCCGAGTGCATATGAGTCCATCTTCTGATCCAGTTGATAATAGCATAGTAAATATTCCTGGTCAAGACCTTCTCCCCTCCATATATACATGCAGTGTAAGCTTTCCAAATGGCCCACCGAACAAAACCCGGAAGGCAGGAGCAAAGGATGCCTCTGAAGTCCCACTTATTTGACGAAAGCCACCATTGTAGGAGGTGCTGACGTAGTGTTGCCCCCTCTTTCCATATTGGACCATCCGTCCTATTTGCAAAATCATTCCATATATCACGAATGGCAGGACATGAATCCCAGCAGCGTATGGTCTTGTTGATCTTCACTGCGCAGACAGAAGACACATTGTGAAGGGAGGTGGAAGGGAAAGATACAAAAGATAGCAAACGTTCGGGGGGACTAGACCGAAACCCCGAAGGAGAGGGAGCAACCCGACAAAAGAAACAACAAAATTCTAAGTGATAACAACGGTTATATCAAACAGACAGTGTGCCGAAGCCAAGCTGCGCTTCAACACCATCTTCCTTGTACTGTCCAAGCACCCAGGTCTAGACCGCTATCAATCTCCCACATAGTCGTTTGCGGTGAAAGTTTTTATTCTGGGGCCATTGAGCGCAAATTGAAGAATTATGAATTTCTATAATATTACAAAGTATTCACCTCCCCTTATATACATGTAGGAGGGTAAAGAATATGGAAACAATAATAATGTAGAATCCTATACAATCATAGAGTCTACCATATATAATAACTACATTAAATATGTTATATTATGTTAACATATTTAACATGCTACCAACTGCGTCGGTGATGGTCGAACGCCAAGATTGTGTCGAAAATCAGTGAAGAGAAGTGACGGCAATCCTTTGGTGAAGATGTCTGCGAATTGGGACGAGGATGGCACATAGAGAACACGAACCTGCCCTAAAGCAACTTTATCTCTGACAAAGTGAATATCTACTTCAACATGCTTGGTCCGTTGGTGCTGTACTGGATTTGATGACAAGTAGTAGGCACTAACATTGTCGCAGAACACAATGGTTGCACGTCGTAGTGGTTGGTGGAGTTCAAGGAGAAGATTTTGAATCCAACTTGTTTCACCAACTGCATTGGCCACAGCTCTATACTCTGCCTCAGCACTGGATCGGGAGGTGGTGGCTTGTCATTTGGAAGACCAGGAAACCTGATTGTCCCCTAAGAATACACAATAGCCAGAAGTGGAACGTCGCGTGTCTGGACAACCCGCCCAGTCTGCATCCGAGTAGGCCCGAAGGAGATCTGATGAAGAGCGAGAGAGAGTGATTCCATGGGTGACTGTGCCTCGGAGATAACGGAGGACCCGTTTTAAAGCCGTAAGATGAGTCGTCCGTGGAGAGTGAAGGTAGAGACATAGCTGCTGGACTGCATAAGTGAGATTTGGCTGAGTAAATGTAAGGTACTGAAGTGCACCAACAATGGAACGGTAGAGAGAAGCATCGGTTGTGGGTTCCCCTGAGGTGGCAGAAAGCTTCCTTTTGGAGTCAACCGGTGTGGAGATGGGCTTACAGTGGAGCATACCTGCCCTGTCCAAAATGTCTTGTGCAAACTGTGTCTGATGCAAGAAGAGACTGCCTTCTTTAGTACGGTGAACATTAAAGCCAAGTAAGAAATTTAGCTCCCCCATATCAGTCATGGCAAACTCCCCCTTCAGTCG